GCAGCAGCAGCAGCAGCACAGGCCGCCGCAGCAGCTGCAGCAGCACGCGCAACAGCAACATGAGCAACAACAACAGCAGCAGCAGTAGCAGCGCGGGCAGCAGCAGCAAAAGCAACACCAACGACACCAGCAGCAGTAGCAGCAACAACCGCAGCAAGAGCCACGCCAACGACAGCGGCAGCAGCAGCAAAAGCCACGCCAACGACAATAACAGCAGCAGCAGCAGCAGCAGCAGCAGCAAACCTGTGGCGAGATCTATTGTGGCCTGCAGGATGTCGTGGGGCAAAAAGAAAATATGTTTGAAAGCAGCAAGTCTTTGCTGCTCCGCCACAAACCAGTCCCCCGGGGGCGTTTCCGTCAAACCCCTGCGCCAAACCCTAAACCCTAAACCCTAAACCCTAAACCCTAAATCCTTGACTTCAAGCCCGAGGCCCCACCCTGTAGCAGCTAGAGCAAGAAGCCAGTAAGGGCAAAAATCCATTCAATTTAGAAGCAGCAAAAGTGGGCGAGGATTGAAGTCCAGAGGCGAGGGTTTAGGGTTTAGGGTTTAGGGTTTGGTTAAGAGCATGCCCGGGCACATCCGAGCAGAAGCTACAATCAGGCAAGAGAAAGACGTGAAGCAGCAGCAGCAGCGGCAACATCAACAGCAGCACCAGGAAAAGCAGCAATAACAACAGCAACAGCAGGAACAGCAGCAGCAGCAGCAGCAGCAGCAGCAACAGCAGCCACCTCTCCAAATGGAGACACAAAACAACCCTCAGCAGAAAAGAAAAAAGAAGAGATATAAAAAAAACAAAAAAGAAAGAAACAAACGAAGTAAAAGGAAACAAAAAGAAATAAAAGAACCAAAATATAAAAGAATTAAATACTAGAAAGAATTAAATAAAACAAAAATAAGTGAAATAAAATAAAATGGATTAAATAAACACTTACGCAATATAAGCAAAAATCATTTCCCCAGCGTCCTCCAGGCGCTGCTTCCAGTTGCTGTGCTGCACCTCCACCTCGATCTGCACAAACCCTAAACCCTAAACCATAAACCCTAAACCCAAAGCCCTAAACCCTCAACTCTAGAGCCTAGGTCCTGTATTGTGAAGAGCAAATTCTGAGGGGGGCATTAGCAAGCATACGCAGCAGCAGTGTTGATACAGTGCT